GGCTTCTGTCCAACTGAGACTGTACAATAAAAACTTGACCCTATTGGGAGAAGGGGGCTGGGAGAGAAGAGGGCAGTAGAGTAGTAAAGGAGAGGAAATGTGAGTGAGACCCTTGGAGGAGAAACAGCAGCACAAAGCTAGGATGAAACAACTGATAGCATCGGTATACAAACTTGATTGAACTCAGAAAAAAGCACCTAACTTTGGAGAAACTAAATTTTTTGAGATTCCCAATGACAAGGTACAGACTGACAGAAGGAGACAGAATTCAGTGACCACACAGAATCACTGGCAGCCACATAGCTTACCTATGACCTTTGCCTTTCCCTATTTGTAGTCACCATCTCCATGACCTTGTCCCTCTGTAATTCCCAAGACATTGGTTTCTACATTGTAAAAACATCCTTGGTGTAGCACTTATTGTGATAGGCCCTGCAGAGGACTGTGGTAGCAGAGTGGGTAGAAGTCAGATTGCCCCAATGGGCAAGTAGATGCATGGAACTTTGTTATTACCTGTACATAGAACATTGTGCAAGTTGGCAGAATTTTGATTCTAATTTTCCCAGTTATTTAGACTTTATGAATTGTGCCTTGATCACATTATATATGAATTTCTAGCATGCTAAATGTTTGTTATATAAAAGTACATCTTATCCAAATTGCATACATTAGCATGTAACTCCTTTAGAAATGGAAATAATTCTAACTTACTCAGGTTTATCAATGTTGATGCTGTTAAGTGAAAATACTTGAGAGGGTCACAGCTGAGTAAATATTAAGGAAAAACAAGAAATGCTTTGGTTAGGTAACTAATTACAAGCCAAAGGCCAGCCAATTCTTTTATTTTAATTATATTTAATCCCTACTTCTTGTTAAAAGGGGGAGAAATTCCCCCCATAAAATTCATAAATCCTATTATCAAGCAAAAATTCCCTTTTAAACAATTGTAGGTGGAAGTCTGTTTTGTAAAAATTTGCTGTGGCCACTTGTTAACTCACCCGTACGATCTACAAATACAGTTGTTTAAACACAAGATTGCCATTACTCAGCTGGTTCATTAATCACAATTCAACTTTGCTATCAGGAGTGAAAATTACTGGTGTTATTAAATTTCCACCCCATTACCTTGACATTTATTTAGAACCGTTCATCAATGATTTCCTCCTTAATTCAAAGCAACAAGTTCACTAATCCCTAAGTATAGTGCCAGGAAGGCACAGAGCAGGTTTTCTATGATCCTAGGAGCCCTCAGTGGCTTTTTCAGGCTTGTATTGAGTTTACACAGCAGGTACACAGCAGGCAGGGGTGCTGGGAGGCTGGGGGGCCTCCCAGCCCCCAGCAAGTCTTCACTCTTTCTGGGCTCTCTGGCTTTCTCTCTTGGCTTCTGCTTCTCTGCTGGTTCTCCTTCTGGTTTTGTTCCTTGGCTTTGCTGGCATCCCCATGATGCTGCCTTATAAGCCGTGTGTTAGCCCAGGTGAATCCCACCTACACGTGCCCACACCCTATTGCAGGTACCCACTATCAGGCATGTATTCAGGACTGCAGGGATCCATCATCAATCCTCATGGCAGGAGGGCAGAAAAGCCCTACACTGACTATCAAAGAAACACAATGCATTTAATGATATCTTCGAAATGTAAATATTTATGCAATTTTGCATAAATGCAAAAATGCAATTTTGTTAATTTCAAAGTCTCTTCAGCATTAAAGTACTGAAGATAGTTTCCAAGTGCAGGGGCAGGCACTGGGACTGTGCAGGTTTTCTGGGATCCAGCAGACCCAGTAAAGGAGGAGTCAGAGTCTTCAGTGGTTTTGCAGGTTTTTATTGGGGTTTACCAGGCATATGGCAGGCAGGGGTGCTGGGGGACCGGCAGGCTGGCAGTCCTCCCAGCCCCCAGCAAATCCTCACTCTATCTGGGCTCTCTGGCGTTTTCTCTGCTCTTCTGTTCATTCTGCTGCTTCTCGGCTTCTTCATCAGCTTCTCCCCGTGACGCCGCCCTTAAAAGCAGTCTCAGCCCAGGTGAATCCCATCTACCTCTGCCCACACCCTACTCCAGGTGCCCGCCATCAGGCATGCATTCGGGACCTCAAGGATCCATCATCTATCCTGATGGCGGGAGGGCAGAAAAGCCTGACATTTTCTTTACCCTACACCAAGACTTTGCTTCATAAACTACTAGCAATAGATTTTCAAATAATGCTTGAGGAAGAAACATACTGTTAAAGTAATGGATTTCCAGTAATTAGCCTCTGCCAGTCCTCTGACAAGTCTATTATTCCCTTAGTATATTTTACAGTCCCCAAATATATCTGTTTAAGGAACTGTAATCTCTTGCCTTCATGAAAGCCTGTCTTACTGCTTTCTCCAGGAATGTTCCTGTCGATCAAAGCCATTTTCCAGCTGTCCACAGGAAATTTTCATGGGCTGCTCCTTCAGGACTGATTTTTACATAGATGTCTTCTATGCAAAATTGAGATCCAAAATAATATCGATCAATCAATCAACAAAATGTCATTGATTACTCTTCATAGAAAATGATTCACTATAGAGAAGATAGTATAAAAAATTTTATAGTCTAGATGTCTATCACATAAATACATAGCTCTTAACGCAGAGCAGCAGGCTGTTGGTGCTAAATGAATGTGGTGGGTAGGAACAGCCTTAAGATTCTGGATGACTCACTCTAGACTATGAAAGGGATGAGATCATTAGACTATCCACTCAGAGAAGAAGCGGAAGAGAGAGGAACAACGTGATCAGAGCAACAAGTCAATCATTTACATTTTAGAGCAACATGGTGTAAATCTATAATAAATATAAATGTTTTTGTGTATGCTGTCAGTGGACTGTATTTCAAGTATGAATAAAATTAATCGTGACTGAAACCCATTTTGACACGCCATTTGAAAAGAGGAAGCACATGGAGGTTCACAGCTGATTCTGTTTGATTCCATTAAGAATCATGGGAAATGCAGCCACGGCTGGCCCCAGTGGATTTATCATCTATACTAAGATTACTCCTCCAGGTTAACCCCCTTTCCATAATTTGTCCCAATGAAACCAATTATATCATTGCATCGAAAGAGTTATTTTCATTTATTTCATAACTGACCCTGACCCTCCTCAGATCAGTAGACCTGGGAGACCCATAAATTCTTCCGTTCAAAAATGTGGTCAATTTTTCTACACCTTAGCTCCATAATTAGGTTCATCTAATCTAGGTGGTGCTAGTAAAGTACAATAGGCATATTTTTGCTGTTTCTGGGTTGCCAGTGTCCTGATGTGTACTTCTTTGGTGTTCTACATTCAGGATATCTGTGATGATTTAATGAGTGTGTGAATACAGCCAAGGTTTAAAAAATAAAAGTAAATCAGAATGGAGTAACCGAATAAAACATGATTTCCTAAAGAGGCCATCCATCTGTTGCTTTTGTCTGACCAGCATCCTTCCCCTTTCATTAATAATTGAAGACAGTAGCACTTGCTGTTTGTAGGGTAAGGTAAAAAATCAGGCTTTCCTGCCCTCCCGCCATCAGGATAGATGAGGGAACCCTGTGATCCTGAATGCATGCCTGATGGCGGGCACCTGAAGTGGGTACACCTGGGCCAAGACTGTGCTTTTTAAGGGTGGTGTCATGGGGACGCCAGGAGAAGCTGAAAGAGAAGCAGCCCGAAGCAGAAGCAGAGAACGCCAGAGAACGCCAGAGAGCCCAGATAGAGTGAAGATTTGCTGGGGGGCTGGGAGGACTGCCAACCTCCCAGCCCCCCAGCACCCTTGCCTGCCACGTACCCGCTGAACCCCAATAAAAACCTGCAAAACCACTGAGGACTCTGACTTCTCTTTTACCCAGTCTGCATGGGATCAGAAAACCTGCACTGTGTCCTGTTCCTGACCTTATACTGTTCATTTGTGTTACTGCTTGCCCATTCCACTTAGTCTCGTGGGGCTGTTAACTGAGGAGCTCCTTCCCTCCCCACAAGCTTAATTCTAGAAGGAATTTGATAGGGCTAAAAGCCATTGGAACTAATCAGTCCAAAGGCAGTATCCTGGAAAAGATTCTTTGAGTTCCTGAATCCTGATGGATTTGCCTTAATTCCAGAGGTGCAAATGGTGATCTCATATTTGGTACTATGAGTTCTTCACCTTTTCTCATTTGCTATTCTTAAAAAAAAAAAAAAAGGTAGCTAGAACTGATTTTTGTAGCTTGCAACCAAGGGGGTTTCCTTCCTCTGTTACAAAGTTCAATCACAGCATTCAAGATTGGAAGATTCAAACTTTGCATCATTGAGAAATTCTGGAAGTAGGGGTGACTTCATCTATATCTGTACTTGATTTTAAGGGAAGTAAAGGTAAACAAAGAAACTGGGATAAAAGGAGAGGAGGGCAGTGTGTTCACAAAGGAAGAATCCCCTGACAACACTCATAACACTTAATGCTAACTTGAATTGAGACAGACATTCATATGAATGAATTTGGGTAAACTGTATTTTATGACAAACTGCAACTGCCAATTTCATTTACCTAGAAAAAAGCATTTGTCCTTCAGAAGTTGTGTATCAGGTGGATGAGCTGAAAGCAAATAGGGAGTATTGTTGTTGCCGTTATTTTCTGGATCAAGTAACAAAGAGGACAAAAGCAATCTGACCCCCGCTTTGGTGTTCTATGTCAGTTTTTCTCTTCCCATCAACTGACCACTCAAATTATTCTTCAGTGACAAATCTTGAAGGGCTCTAACTATACACCATGGATTCTGTATTTGGTATCATATGTACTAGAGGATTTGAGATTAAAGCTCCCTTAAAGTACCTGAGATTTTAATAGGAAATTTATGATCCAGTCCTTTTCTAATAACAAAATATTCCCAGGATTTTTTATAACATGATCCTAGGAAGTACACTTTACCAATAATATTATATGCAGTACAGAGGCAAGGAATCTTGAGAAAAGCCCACAGCATTTCCTAAGAGAATAGCTTTAATGCAATGATGGGAATAGAACATGTTTATATACGGGAAGGATAACAAGAAGGTAGAAAGTAGAGGTTTGGCAACTAAAAGGAGAGAGATGGAAAAGAAGTTGGAAGAATCATGCAAAAATTCTTCTTGTTTTAAAGCTAGAGAAGATTAGGACATATTGGAGGTAGAAAAGAAAGAGTCGCTGAAGAAGAAAAGGACTGACAGACTGGCTTCATGGGCATGTGACCTGTGTAGTCAGCACTGGGCTCTGTGCTTAGAAGAGCCCTGAACTTGGTTTAATGCTTTGCTGCATTTTCGTTTTGCATATGACTCCACCAATTATGAAGGCTTTCCCAAAGGTATAAAGCACTAAGTGTAGGCTGATTAATGTACCCCCAAAGATGTCCATGCCTTAATGCCCAGCTGTGTGTGTGTTATCTTCTGCCTATGAGGCAAAAGAACTTTTTATGTGTGATTAAGGATTTTGAGGTGGGGTGATTGTCTTGGATTATCTGGATGGGCCCAATGTAATCCTCACAGTCTTTATAAGAGGGAGGCAGTAGTTAGGATCAGAAAGAGAACGCATGTGACAATGAAAGCAGAGGGAGTAAAGATGTGATAAAGTAATACATGGTTATGAGCTAAGGAATGTAGATGGCTTGTAGAAACTGGAAAAGACAAGCGAACGTATTGAACCGCGTAGAATATCTAGAATTTATCCTGATGATCCAATTTGGGCTTCTGATCTCCAGAACTATATGTCATAAAAAGTATTCCAAATCACTGTTTGTTTTAGAAGCAATGGGAAACTAATACACACTTTATAAATGTACTGTGATATATTACTAGTTTTCTAAAAATCAAATATATCAATAGCAGCTATCATATGCTAAGCAGCTGTTATATACTAAGCACGCTACTAAATCTTTTATTCATATAATCTCACATAATCCTAGAACAATGTTGGAGGTTGAGTATTGTACTTACTTTATAGATGGACGAACGGAATTTCTCAGAGGTCAAGGCATTTGTCTAAGGCCACAAATTAGAATGTTTTAGAGGTGGGATCTTAACCCCTTCTATATCACACCAAGTCTTCCTGCGTGTTTGTGTTTATCCTCATCCATACACACACTCCCTCATAAACTTTTGGATCTATCCCTTCTTTAATGTGCATATTGTTTGCACCTGTCAACATAACTGTGGGAGTGGTGATAGGCAGAGGATGACACCTACATCTGGGACATATAAAATGAAAAGGAGCCTCAAAAACCACCGCCACGTTGCACAGGTGGCTTATCTGGATAACCTCCCTTTGATGTGCGGCTACAGAAAAGAGAACAAGACAAAGAAAGGGAATGCTTCAGACTCAAAGCCTAACATCTCGCACTGTTCCTCATTTGCGTAGATACTGGGCGAATCCTGGAGCTTCGAGGATGGGCGTTATTACCAACGACGACACAACGAGGCCCCCAGTCTCGTTTCCAGGAGCAACTGCCGGCAGTGGGGGGGTGGGGTGTGCGGGTACAGCGACGGCGGCCTACTGGTAGCGAGGACCCGCCGCTCCACCCGCCCGCACCTCCTCTTGTTTTGGAAGCCCGCGTGGTCCCGCTTCATTGGCCGCGGCGAAGCCCGAGGTCCCGGGAGGCGGAGCAGCCTCCGCAGCAGTAGCTCCCGGCTTTGCAGGATCGCTGGCCCCGCCTTCCGGCCGGAGGAGCAATGGACCTCGCGCGGGACTACAACTCCCACAAGGCTCCGCGCTCGAGGGGGGCGTGGCGCGGGCGAAGGGGAAGCCGGGGGCGGGGCCGCCTGGGGGATGAAGTGGGGGCTGTGGGCTCGCCAGCCTCACTCGCCGCTACCGGGCGCTCGGGAGAGCGTCCCTCGCCTTCCGGCAGGCGTGGAGCTCTCTGACCCTGGAGTCTGTCAGCCTCCGGGAGCCGTCCCCTTAGGTCGTCGCCCGAGCCGCCCGCCGTTCCCCTGCCCCGAGGGGCCCGGCCGGCCGCGGCGAGGGGAGAGGTCAGCATGAGCCGGGGGTCCGGCGGGCCGGCGCAGGACGGGGGGCGGCGGCCGCGGTGAAGCTGCTGGTCACCCTGAGCTTCCTCCCGAGCGTCGTCGAGGCCCAGGTAGGCACCGGAGATGTCCGGGCGGGGACCCCGGCCGAACGTTCGCCCGCGCGGCAGCCGCCAACCAGTAGCGGCTGTGGCGGGGGAGGGCCGCGTCCCGACCCGACCCGACCCCGACCCGACCCGACCGACCCCGACCCGACCCCGACCCCGCTGTAGTTTCTGCGAGCGGGAAAGACCTGGGGGCTAAAAACCTGACAGTCTAGGAAACGTCTGCGAGCCGCTTGCGGTGTGGGGGAGATGGCGACATCCACGGTCACTGGCAGTAAAAAGAGGAAGATGGTGACGGTCCCTTGAGGTGTTTTCGCTTTTAATCTAATTTTTTTAAGTAGCTGGGAGTGTGGCGGGAGCACTGCGACCGGCATGTAAACAGCATCAGCTGGTTTGCAAGGAGAGCACGCTTAGGAATGGTGGAGCCCTCCCTTTCAGGAGTTAGGGGGGCTGGTGGGGAGTAGGTGACAGACCCCGCGGCCCTGCAAGATCAGAGTGGATTGGGGAGGGGGCATATAAAGATTTAATTTCCCGTGAACTTTTGGGCTAGAGGGTCCCCTTGGATTTTGCTCTGGCGTCTTCCCTCGTTCAGGACTGCTATGTTTTTCGCGGAACTTCTACTGTCTGCTAAGTGGTGAGCCCAAGTAGGATACTTGGGGGGTCTGTGGGCCCTATGGTTTTGTCAATAGAGAGGTGATGACTGGAGGAAATGAGTCTTTGTGAAGTGTATGTTACACGAGTGTTTTGAATATGCTGGAAATCAGAGGGTTACCTGAGCAGAACCTTTTGCCTTCTGCGAAGTGTTTGCTGCTTTTTTTATACGGTAGAATTTGAATAGACTGCTGCCAGGTGCTGCTGTGCCTTGACTGCACCTGCTACAAAGTGGCAAAACTGCTAAGAGGGGAAATAGTGTGCCTCAGGTGGCCTGATAATGAGGAGGGATGTCATTGGCAGCAATTAATGCTCCTTGCCAAGAAAAACTGAAGGCACCTGTAACAGGGTAAACATGTTTTTCTAATTGTATTCGCTTTTTTCTTGTTGTTAGGGTGTTCCGCACTAAATGCTTAGAATGCCTGCATATTAAATTTGTGTCCAAGTTTATAAGTATTTGTTAAATGAATGATAAACATAAAAGGAACAAAATTTTGGTTTTAAAAATGCTCACCCCACCGGGAGATGTTCCGATTCAGTGGATCTGAATGTTACCCAGGAATCAGCATTGTAAACAAGCCTTGCAAGTAACTATGCAGTTCTTTTGACCTATGTTTCGAGCCTCACTTGAAAGCAAATCTGTACATGTCTACCAGACTTATGAAATGTAAAGTTTCTAAATTGTCTTTGGCAAAGTTGTTTTCTAGTTACTTAGGGTATTTTTGAGTGGAATTTACATTTAAATGTATGGTTGAGATTTTTCTCTTTTTGTGTATCACATGTACTTTGCCACTACTTTAGAAGATTCCCTTTAGTTTTTTTCACCTACCACTAATTACATGTATTAATGTTTTACAATTGCATGTGTACTTTAAATTTTATATCCAAATGAGTATCTAGTTTTAATTTTATTATGTCCAAATGAGTATATATAGTTCAGTAGTTAAAGATTTGTATATTTTCAAGGTTGTGTCCCCAACAATCTTCAAAAGTGAGTATATTTGGTTTTTATTTCCAGAGGTACTTCCTAATATAGTGCTTGATCATGTTTTAGATAGTACCTTTATCTGAAACTTGTTAAATACATATGATCTCATTTTATTTGATAATATCTCCCCAAAGTGGGACCATTGGGATAACTGAGGTTTCAAGAGCTTACATGACTGATACCACATTTGTTAAATGAACAAGATTAGACTGAAATCTTACTAAGCCCTTTCTAGTATAGTTTGTGGTGTAGAAATAAAGCAGAGGAAAACCCAGAAAATTAAAAAGTGGAACTAAGTTCTTTTACTTCTCCTCTGTATATTGGAAGAAAAACAGTAAAGCATAAAAGGAAAGAAATAGATTTTCTGGGGAAAAAATTCTGCTCATAAAAAATCATTTGAGATGAATAGTGAGGCTATCTCTCTTTGAAATATAAGCATAAATTTTTTTTGAGCACATAATAGGTATTTGTAGGTCTGAAACCCCTTTTTCATATAAAGGAAATGCAAATTTGCTTTGTGGTATTTGCCAAAACAGGGACTAAAGACAGTTAATCTTTTTGTAAAGAAGTAATTTCTGTTGAACATATTTTTAAATCTTTCTAAATGTATTTTTGAGGTAGTATGAAATCAAGGAATACATAGAGCCTTTCGCCCTCCCTAAAAGAAAAAGAAAAAAGAAAGCAGAACCTTGGGATTCGCACAATTTTGTTCCAGACCATTACACAGAGGATTTTCCCCACACCCTCAAGATCTTGAGCTTCTGCTTCAACAGCTGCATGGGTGGAATGGACAAGAAATAATGACTGTCTGCCCCAAGAGAGGAAACTGAAATGAGACCCCACCATAATGAAAGAGAAAGTAGAGAGAAACTTGCTGGTGGTCAGGGGAGAAACTCCCTTGAGGATTTATAATCATGAACCAGCTCATACAGATTTGTAGGCCAAATTCATGCTGGGGAAAGCTTTAGGTAGAAAATTTTTCTTATTCTAAAGCACTGTTACTATAATAAAATACATGCTATTCTTTTTTTATTATTAAAAAGATTTAAATACTACTTCTGACTTTGCTCCATTTTTCTGTCCCTCTCTATATACAAACTTTTTAAAAGATTATCCCTCTTACTCTAGTCCTCTCTTCAGCCCATTCCAGTCAGACTTTTGCCCCTACCACACCTTTGCTCTTGTCCAGGTAACTAATGTCTTCCTTTTTATTAGAGCCAGTAGGTTTTGAGCCTGAGCTTTATCATCACTCACTCCGGTTTCACTTAAAGTACTTTTTTGTCTCTCAGGGACCTATTTTCTGATTTTTCTACCTGTCTTACAGATTAGATTTTCCTAATAGCTACCTTTTGCTCATTTTCCCTCAGCCCTGACTGCTAATCATTTGAAGCTCAGGCTTTGCTTTTCTTTGTCTTGGTTATCAAATTTCATCTCTTGGCTTTAAATACCACCAATATAACTAACTCTCAGAACCTCCAGACTGGAATTCACAACTCTGTCTGTATAACCTTTTCTACAGCCCATTTTGGACGATTGATAGGTATCTTAAACTAGATGTGTATCAGAAACCAAATTCCTGGTCTTTTCCCTCAAATTTGCTCTTCCCACTCTGTCTGCTCTCTCTTACCAAGATGCTGCAGCCAAACTGACCTCCCTTTTCTTTGTTCCTCAGACATGATAAATATTCTTTGAGGTCTTTGGACTAGAAATTTTATTTGTCTAGCATACTTTTCTCACGTCTTCATATGCTTGTTTGCTTTCCTAAGTTTCTGCTAAAGTGTCACTTTATTCAGCTTGTCCACTTTTCTCAATTGTTGCTTCCCCCAACCTTACAATAGAAAAGAGAACCCTCCAACTTCACTTTGTTGTCCTTGCTTCTTTTATCCTCTGCTTGAAACTCTCCAGTGGCTTCCCGCACTCAGTGTGATATAATACAAAAATGTATTTGGTCTTTGTCCTCTATTCCTGTTAGCTCTCCTAACATATTTGGAATTTCCTAAGTAATAAGAATACCTTTTGTTATTGATAATGAGCCTTTTTCAATAACATACGAGTTTATGCTAATGAGGGACTTAGGTGGGTTTCCTTTTTACCTACTACATTGTCTTCCTTATTGTTCCTCAAAAACACTGAACAAGCTTATTGCCTCAAGGCCTTTACATTTAGTGTTTCCCAAATCTGGAATGTTACTTTTTGCCCTACCTCCCAAATTTCTGTGAGGCCTTCCACAACTATCTTGTTTTCTATACTAGCAGTCTCAGTTCTGCAGCTTATCTTCATTCTCTAGTATTCCTCCATAACACTTGATTATCATCTGATAGGGTATACTCTGCTCATTTTCCCCCCCCTCCTCTTCTAAGAATGTGAGCTCCTGTTTTTTTTTCTTTTCCTAAGTTTTATCCCCAGCATTTATAACAGTGCAAAGGCTTATGTTAGGTCCTCAATAGATATTTTGAATAAATGAATGGATAAATGCAAATAAATTATTCAGAATGAAGCTCAGAAAGATAATTGGGTAGTAAATATTAAAAAAAAAGACTAAAGGGACATGAAGAATAGAGTATATGAAGGTCTAATATGTCTTGTTGGAGTTTCAGAATAGAATAGACTAGAGAAAAAGCAGTATTGATTCTTGCATATCAGTGTGAAAAAGAACTCAGTAAAAAAATGAGCAAAAAAATTGGCATTTTATACAAGAAGAAATACAAACATCTTATAAAACAGAACATTGTGCTCAATTTTTTAAAAAAAATACTATTTCATGCTTAATAGATTGGCAAAAGTTAAAGCATAGATATCAAATATTGGCAAAGATATGACTCAATAGTAACTCATCTACAGTTGGTAGGATTGTAAATGAGATGTATATATTACTATATGTAAATAGAAATAAACCTGTCACTTCCTAGTAAAATTGAACATATATTTATAGTACTTTCACTCCTAAGCATATAACCTGGGGAAATTTTTACATATATGTGTACAAAAGTTGTTCTTTAGCTAAATCTGGAAACAACCTGTTAGTTTCCTATATCACAATACTGCAAACTTAATGGTTTAAAGCGTCTTTTTTTTAAAGATCTATTTATTTATGCATAGAAGAGCTGGGGTACAGGCCAGAGGTGTGGGGGTGAGAGGATTCACCAGAGACAGAGTGGGGAACAGAACAGGCAGATTGACTGAAATACACTGCTGAGGGGAGCAGCGGGAGAGACAGGAGAGGTCTGCTGTGCCATGTAGGTTGTTCCCTGGCTGGCCGGGGATTGAACTCAGGGATTGAACTCATGCTGCAGAGGCTGCAGATCACTTCATAGTGTGGTGCTTAACCCCTTGCGCCACCAGGGAGGCCCTAAAGCAATCTTAAGCATAG